GCTAACACACCCCATACACTACATACAAAGAGAGAAGCAAGGACGTAATGGTTGGATCCATGATTTGGACAGATGAGTTCGTAATCCCCTCGCGCCCATAAAACGATTAGTTGCCGACGTTTACCGGTCGGCGCAAAATTTTATCCAAAACCCCATCTCACGATTCATTGCGAAAAATAGAGAAAGTTTCCTGTATTTACACCAATGCACATGGTCTCCTGAACAAGCTTGCCGAACTGCCGCTATGTCAAGTGTCACATGCGTGGGACCTCATACTCCTTATGGAAACATGGTTACACTCAAAAATTACCGATGCCGAAGTCGTAATAAATGGTATGACTCTTCTCCGAAACGACGGATCTGGCAAAGGCGGGGGTACGGTTATACTACCGCAAGAACCTCCAGTGCGAACGGGTGATCGATCCGGAAATGCTGATCATAGACTCACTCTGGTGCAGTATGCGACTGAGACGCAACGGCACTTGTCTATTGGCCGTTGTTTATCGTCCCCCAATGTTCACTTCAGAGATGGACTCCGGCCTGACGTTATCCTTGGGAAGGGTCGTACGAGGACGACACATCCATGTTCTCAGCTCCGACGACTTCAATATTCGCGATTTAGAAATTCCGGCATCCACCAACGAGTAATTCAAGACAGACCTGCAAGAGTATATTGCAAGCATTCCGCTCTTCAGCCATGTCAGTTCGCCAACCCAATTCAAAGCCGGGAATAAACGATCTGTGCTTATAGTTTAGTGCGTACGAACTATGAGCTCATGATTGAGAATCCAAGAATGGAGAGGCTTCTGGGGCGCAGCGACCACGTAACCATAATTTATGACTTCCTGTGTTATGCGGAGTATCCACAGGAACATAGCAATTTGTTTCGAACCACCACCCACTACGACATGCAGGCGGAACTTGTGAGAGGTACCATCTGGGAGTTTTCGAACGACTGTTGTATTGACAGTGCTTGGATGGAGTTTACTGGCAAGTTCAGTGACCTGATTAAATCTGCATCGGTCAATGCAACCTTTGTTCTTCTAGAACGCAATCATTCATTCGGAGCAGAACCCGAAACACATGACAGTAAGAGACGCCGTATGGCATGTGTATGGAACGAATCCTAGCCCTGACAACTGGGGTAACTATGTTGTGCATGAGAGTCACTGTACCACACTTATGCATGAGGACACCTTAGTACACCAGCAGTCTTTGATAAAGTTTTGTGCTAACAAAAAGCTTCTTGTACAGACATGTGAACAGCCTCCGGAATGTGAACCGTGGTGTTTCCCCACTAAAATCAGCGGATGGACGTGCTCAAACCGCCTTGGATGCAGCTAAGGTTCTACGGCTCCAATATGCTCCAATTTTCCGACGTGCTACCAGCACGTGTAACATACCTGTCCCAAACTCCCAGAGGACAGTATTTACACACGTCAGCTTTAGTTCGGCGACCATTTTGAGGAAGCCGCTCTCGTTGCGCACCAATAGTTCCTCCGGGGCTGACAACATTCCACCGAAAGCACTGCAGGTGATAGCTACGAGGATAGCTGAACAACTAAGGGGTTTTTTCCAAAGATGGCTGGGCGAACAGCAGGTCCCTAGCATGTGGGAGCAAGGCATCATTACCCCGATTTTCAAAATTAGTGGTAGCCGTTCAGAGTCCGAAAACCATCGCCCAGTTATTCTCCTCCCATTGCTAATAAATGTGATGGAATCGGTCGTATTTAAGGCTGTAATGGGAAAGGTCTAACATCACACCGCTGGACCAACACGGATTCCATCAGCATCGCTTATGTACTACCAATCCACTAATTGCCCGTGGCAGTTGGACTGAGATAGCAGAGAGTGGGGACCGGCATTGATCTCATCTACCTATACTTTCCAAAGCATTCGATCGTATAGATCACGTCATCCTTCGCCAAAACCTGCAAGCGTACGAAGTTGGGAAGCCTGCCCTTGGATGAATAGGAAACATGCTCCGTCAACGCGCGTTCGGTTTCGCGTTCGAAGCTCAAATTCTGGTTTAATTATTGTAGCCTGCGGTGTTCCACAAGGGTAAGTGTTGGGTCCGCGGTTATTTCCCTTCATCATTAAAGACCTTGCGAGTGTCATCAAGTCAAACTTCCTGCTTTTTGCCGGTGATATCAAGATATAGCGGGCAATCGGCTGTCAGAAACAGCACGATTTGCTGCAACGAGACTTAGACCGCGGTATGAATGGTCAAAGGAATAGGTACTTCCGTTTAACACGGACAAGTACAAAACCGTGCACGTACGTATATAAGAGTGGAGACTACATGCTGAAAACCGCCTCACAAGATCGAAACATTAAGGTGGTAATGTAAGATGATCTAAACTGTCCGGCGCAGTCCTTAAAGGTGCTCAAAACCGCGAACTAACAAGTTGGTCTGTTACGGAGTACTTTCGAGAGGTTCGATCCCTCCATATTCCCCCAAATGCTCAATGCATGTGAGGCCCCATGTACAGTACACGATCCAGCGTTTGCAACCCCGGTTAAAACGCGACCTGATTACACTGGATACCGCACAGAGATGGGTAAGAAAAAATGTGAAGGGTTAATAGCACCTGCAAAACCATAGGCGACGGAAAGTCGTAGAAATGTACAGCTGCAGATACCGCCGTCTATGTGGTGACCTCATCCTGCCTTTGCAGATTTTATAAAATTCCACTGGTGCATACGCCCACCTCCTTAAGCTTAGCCGCAACACAGAATCGTGGGGTCATAAGTTGAAACTTATCACCAAATACAGTCGGTTGGATTGCCGCCGGAATTAATCTTCTCTTCGAGTTTGTCAACTGTGGAACACTCTTGCAACGTTTGTTATTTCCGCGCCCACGCTGCCCGTTTGTATAAAAACGACTCGATGGTGCATTACACCACTTACATTATTTGAACTGACTTATATTCATTGAGTGACGACACGGCGCAGGCAAACATTGTGCTCACCAACCACACGAAATCGCGGTAGACTGGTACGCCTTTGCGTTAATGTGGATGTGTAGGATGAGTCCACTAATGCGATTTTTCAATTTTGTGCAACATTATTGAACTAATGTTATTCCCAGAAACAATCATATGAGACCTGTCAGCGCTTGATATTTTTATCCGTATTACACCATTGTTCTAGTGACAACAGTAATAACACCGTCGTTTATGTTTAGCCACAGTATTTTTGTACCAAACTATGAAGCGGATTTGATATTTATATCAGCACGTATATTTCACCAACGGGAACGAACTCATTGTGTGTACATAAGTCTAACTTCGGGTAATCATAATTCTTATGGCAGTGCATGCACACTCATACAGATAACGGATCGTTTCTGTTTTGTACACAAGCAGATCTAACTACTTTTGCACCTGAAGGATGAAAGACTGTGAACGACTTATCCCTGAGAAACAAGAACACTAAGCGGACACACGTAATTCGTAGAGCCCCTTAGCCACACTGTGGGTTAGCTCGTTTTAGAAATGACATACCGACGCTGATTAAGAGCGATACTGTTTCGGGCCAATGATGTGACACCTAGGGGTCGAGTCCCCGGAGTTTACCTTTTTCCATCTCTAACTGATGATGGCACTTTACTAAGAGGCTTAATCAACTAATTACAAAACGTATAATCTTATTTCTCATATTAGAACAAGGTTTCACTAGAAGCCCTGACAGGAAACCAAATCCAGAAATTGAAGGCCATTCGCTTGTACCTGTTCCAATCAATACTGGCTCTGTAAACGCGGAGGCAAACGACGGACATCAGTTCCCAGTAGCTAACCCTATGGCACAAAAAGCAGTCACGATGGATGAGAACGACGAAATTGACTTGGCATTTGAATTGGCACATCAAGCCAAAAGCGCATCCACGGTTCCCAGCGGAGCCCACAGCAAGCGTCCGTCCAGCCAACCAAGTAAGTGAAGATGGCTATACTAGTAGATGTCGCAAGTTTGTGCACGTATTCCTCCCGAGTAAACCACTGACTCAAATCTCCCCAAATCTATTACCCCACATAATGGTAAAAACTTTGCTGCTAGCTGGGTGGTTTGAGTTCACCCGTTTCAGCAAATATTTCGCAGTAGTGTTCCAGGAAGTGGCGGATTTTCGCCTGGCAAGCGTTCTCTCTATAAAAAGTCACATATGTTCGTTTAACAACACTGTGACGTACAGGTTGTGATTCACCACCAACAAAGTAACCACCCCTTGCTTATCCGTACATTTGTTTCAAATCTACGTACGTCAGGCACTCCATTAGCACTGGCGACAGGTTTGAACACAAACAAAATTGCAGCAAAATATTTACCAAGCCAATCAACCGGGCCACACCAATCTATATGCACAAATGCCTAAATTGATGTGTCAACGCATATGATAATCTTATTGTACTATGGTACGTGAAATGCTCATTTTTTGTACTCTTACCATGATCATGCATGAGTAGACATGTTTTTCTTAGTAAATAATAAAAATTTATTAATTTATTTAGTGCAACTTTCAGTTATTTAAATCAACTGAAGAAACTCGCTTGTGCTCTTTAGCGACAACTCACCAAAAAAGACGTTTATTTATTTAACTCATGCTTTGCTTGCAATTGGGAAAACTTGAAAAGAGCATTGTGAACCATTGTTCTATAGTGGAGTTTGTACTTACCGTACAAACTAACTCGTAACGAAACATTTGGATGCAGGATAACACGATTGCATGTGCGAAGTCGTTGTGGTTGTCCTTGATCAAACTGCCTCGTATCTAACTACCTATATTACTCAGTAATTGTGTCATTTTCAACCAAAATATGCCGACTCTGCATCAGGTTGATTTGGTGTTGGATTAGTCCAAATAATTAGCTGCGAAGATGAAAGGAAAATATAAGCAGGTTAATTTCATGCTAGTATGTATGCACACACGCCAATTTATGTAGCAATCACGACCTGTGAATGAGTGCCTCATTCATTTTATCCCAAGCGTTGTATACGGTAAAGTCCATCGAACTGGTTGATTCCGGGTAAGTTTGATCTAGTTGCTGAGATTTTAATTTTCCTCAGCCTTACATACGTTCCAACAAATATTAGAATCATACTCACAGCAGGCCTGATTTCAGAAAAGTTAATTTTTGAAAAGATGTTGAATATTTCAAAAGGTCATTTTTTTCACGGACCCCAGCAAAAATTGATGCAGTGACATGGGAATACAGAAAAAGAAAACCGTATTTTATGGACAAATGTACAATTTCTTAGCTTTGAAATGACGGTGTTTTGTGTTTTCCTCGACGAGGTAATGTAAGCAGCAGTAAAATACTATACAAGCATATGTAGCCCGAATTTAGAATAATAATGTGTTCCATTTTTCATATGCGGCATGCCGCCAAGCGGGTTCTATGTATTGGAACAGCACACACTGGGCAGAGCAGATTAACCTTCTACCCACAATGACGGCATCTGCTTTGTTTTGCCATTAACTCCAAGTGGCGTCTAGAGCAAGATTTCCTTATTCCAAGTTTAAGATTTTGTCGTTTGTTGATGAGTGGAAGAATAGTTTGTGGGACATTTATATCTGCTAGATACCACTGCAAGTTGATTTGCACGACAATTCGTTTAAAGGAAGGCATGTGGTAGGGAACTTGTTCACGTGCAGATGATCTTCGTGAAAAGGATGACAGTGTTCGTTGCAGCATTACAGAGATGAGCGATGAGCAGTAAACACGACCTTTTGCTGCAAAAGGTTATTCTATATTGAGTGATATTTTGGTCCAATTGATCCGCTATTCATATCGAAATGTCATATTTGCTAAAGATGCTAGACTGTTCAATAGCTATGTGTTTTAAGTCCTTTGCAGAGAATTCCTTTGCTATGGTGAGAGGACACACCATAACAGAGTTGCTGGTAAGAGTTTCAGTGAAACTGTCATTCCAAGGGAAAACGAAAGCGTCATCACGCCTGTCAAACCTGTAGTCATAGGCACCCATGCTTAATTTGCTAGGTCCTTCCTGTTGATAGAGCACTTTGCTATCCTAATTGCTCGAACTGTTCCCGTTGCTGCCATTGCCTTTGTTGGTTAGGGTTTTCATGAGCCACAAGCCTGTAAAAATTCCGTCAGAAATGACGTGGTAGCGCCGCCTCTTCGGGGGCTTGTCCACCAGGCCCATGACAATGTAATATCTGACATAATGTGTTGTCAAGTTTGACCTGAGTCTCTTGATAGAGATCTTAATTGCTCTACTCATGACACATTTCAACACATAGTTGCCAGTCCACGTCCACACATGCGGATGTGAGTAACATTGGATATAGGAGACGTCTACTTTTATAACATACCATACGTCTAGATAACCATCCAAAGGCTATGCAATATTAAGTATGATAACTATGGTTCGGTCGTATGTCCCAGGTGCTTGATGTTTCTTATCGCCATGCTGCAGATAGGCGTTAGTAATACCTCGTGTGCAATCAAAACATGTTGCCCCTCCTAAGGTGTGGAAGCATTACATAAGCTCTGACTAGATGGGACCTTGAGCAACTGATTTTTATTTGGGACGCAGGGTTTCGCCATGGGATACCGCAGTCACGATGTACAAGTAACTGTTTTCTAGCCACATTATTAAATAAATGAATAAATGTGTATATTTACCGATAAACGCTACATGGCCCAATAAGTGAAAGCGATCATGTTCGTCTGTCGTCCTCGACCTGAATAATTACACGTTTTCACATATTTGCGCACAGTGCTTGCCCTCAGCAACATATCGGTTTATAAGGAACCTGGCATAAAATCTAATCCGATTGGTTGACACTTATAGACGAGAGTAGCTCCGTGAGTAGCTGGAAAGCATGAGAACTGGATCATCTTTCAGAGTTTGCAATACGCGGAGTTGTTAGCCAAGGGTTTTCATATCGAGTATGATATGGAGGTTAACCTACAGCTGATTACACGCATTTTTGTATTGTTTTTTGCAGTGGACCATTTTGAGCTCTTTCGGACAGTTTTTAGCATACAAATAGATTATGTGGCCAATCGGTATACTGCTTTGCCAGTGATTGCACTCGGGGGTATCTAGTTTCTTTTGTCTTAAGTAATGATGTCAATCTGGTGAGAACAGTTATTACTTGAGGCACTATTTCCCATATGCTTTCAAGCAGCTGGTTGGAATGATCTCACAAAAGCATCAAGCTGGTTCCGTCGACATTTCACTTCTGCTTGATAGTTATTCGAATTTGCCTGTGTGCCCTTCCCAAACCAATGGAAATAACCATGAATTGCATACGTCGATTAAAGGCTAAAGCAACTGTTTTGTTTTTTAGATGCAAGCAAAATGATGACCAGCATGGATGATGTGACAGCGACATTTAGCAATGCTGAAAAAGACGGGACCATGGGATGCAGTATGTACGAGCCGGATATTACACAATCTGAGGGCAATAGAAACAGACAACTGAAAGATTCCCACAGAGACTCCCCACCACAGATCAGTTCACACTTCCACACCCTACCTCATTATACTCGCCACTTCCAAACTCAATCATCAGCAATCGACACTTTTTCACACAATCCCTATGTGAATGTGAGAGACATACAACGATTTATACACCCGGGTCGGAGCTGGTATTCCACCCTACCAAAACGTTCTGACTGTCAGCCAGCAGCTGTCATGTGGAGGAGCCCGGTGACCCCTCTGAGTGTATTACCGCAGCCGTTTGTAGTTGCTTCGCAACATGATGCTCTCCTACAAGAATTGTTCAACAGAGGTAGTCAGGATACCTTGGGTCTTCAATGAGCTTCCCAGCGTTACTCGACTCATTAACTTCAGCTATCATTTTGTACATTCAATTTAATCAACATGTTTGCACTTCCGGTGATACCTACACTGTGATGAATCGCAAGTGAGCTTAAAGAAGGGCAGCCAAATGGTCCATGCTTAAATCACATGTAGCAGGGCTTACCAATCAGATGATCAGACACTGGATCTTACTGCGCTCAAGTTATATTCTGAATACATTTCCGTCCATTTAGCTTTATGTAATTTCGCATAGTATTTTTTTGATGCACAGTAGCCGACTGGTAGCTTACCGGAAAGATGCCCATCCGTTACCGGTAGCTCAGCCGGTTTACATCAGTTGCTTTTTTCTCTCCTTTTTCTGTGTATTGCGGCACATTAGCTGAGGTGTTCCCTGCCTCTAGCTAATGTGTATGATGAGGATGATGATGAATCACGTCGTCCGCGTCTAAGTTTCTGGACACCTTTTACGTCGTAAGCGCGCGTATATTTTACTCAATTCACTTACCTTATCCCCAAGCGTAAACCACAACCGACGGTTTGTCTACAGAGTGTCATTCATCTCTATACCAGCTTATGACTGCAATGTGTAATCGATGGAATCGAATCCTAGTGCCACATAATGAAGATGCTTCTGTCATTGCTTGGAGTACAATAATTTATAAATCAAAATGGTGCACAGATTGTACTCAAGTCTCCGGCTAGGTAGAGCAAATTCACTTGGTTACCATCACTGCAATCTATGTCGTTCAACAGTAGAGCTAGCTCATGAAAATGGGGACAACCCAGACTATATGCCTTGTCATTACAATTTTCTGATTAACACTCAAAACGGAATCACTGATAAGGTAGTCATCTTCAAGTAAACCACTAAAGACAAGCGAAATCCTCTTTGATTGAATGTGCAGCATGCAAGAATTAAGTTGCATCGATACAACATGTGAGAGTAAAACCACGTACGCTCTGACCATGACGGTAATATCGCAAATGGGCTCTGTGATCATCCACAAAATGGGAGCATGTTCTGCTGGAATGATCTTAGTTTGACAGACACCCACATCAACTCAGTGGTATCATCTCTGCCTATATGGGTGTTAAAATTCGTTGGTGAAATAGTAGCCAGATGTGGCGCATCGGAAATTACCTTGTTTCCGTGCGAAACACTCATGTAATGATTTTTCGTCTTCCCTTCCAACCACCCTCGCCGAAGCTTTCAAATGAATATCTTGATGCCCACTTCTACCCTGTCGTACACCTGGTGGCATTTGGTTTAGAATAAAATCCCTAGCTCGGTAGGATGGCATTTGATTACTCTAGCGAAATTATTTACTGGGCAAGCAGTAAGTGCAGACAACATAAGGCGGAAATGTGCCACATGAGAAGCCTGTTTTAAGTTTGCAATTGTAGGCGTTCGCTAAAGAACTATTACAAGCGAAAAAATAATGAACAATAAACAATGA